GCGGCGGCGGCGGCGGCGGCGGCGGCGGCATCCTCCTTCTTTGCTTCTTCCACAGCTTCTGGCTCATCATCATAATCAAATCTATCAAGGAGCTTCTGGAATAGGTACGTGAATATTCCATTTTAAAACTGGGATTGGGATATACTACACAAAAGACTTGGTAAAAACAACAGACGTTTCCTATCATCTACGATGCCAGCACTGACAGGTACCTACCGTTTCACCTTCCCACCCGCCCCTTAGGATCCTGGTTCACAGACAAACCACTGCCACACAAAAGCCATCTGAAAAAGAATTTTTGGGGCGCCTGGGTGGCTCAGTCGTTAAGCGACTGCCTCCGGCTCAGGTCATGATCCCAGGGTCCTGGGATCGAGCCCAGCATCGGGCTCCCTGCTCGGCGGGAAGCCTGCTTCTCCCTCTCCCTCTCCCCCTGCTTGTGTTCCCTCTCTCGCTCTCTGTCAAATAAATAAATTCTTTAAAAAAAAAAAGAATTTATTCTGCTTTTCTTCACCAATTACAAATGCAGTGTTTTCTTTCTATTTTCTATATGCTTATTTTAGAGTTAATTTAGCAATATAAATACTAAAATACTCACTCAAAACTTTTAGAACTTTGCACACATGAAAATGGGTGTACATTTTCAGTTAACTGTAAAATGTACCAAGACTGTCTTATCCAATCACTATAAATGCCTAAAGAAAAATGTCCATATGCTGCTTGCTCAAAAACATACTAATATGACAAAGAAAAAAGAGAATGGTATAGACAGGGCCATAAAGAACTTAATACCTGGGCACTAGCTTCTTCCTTAAAACTTCACAGCTCATGTCAGATTACCAGAAACATGGAAGGGAAGGAGGGAGGGAGCTCAACACTTCACAAGATCACATGCCTAGAAGAGCCATTTAAAAATAAGATGACATCTGTTCAGAAAGGAAGGGGGGCGCCTGGGTGGCTCTGTCCTTAAGTGTCTACCTTCGGCTTGGGTCGTGGTCCCGGGATCGAGCCCTGCATCGGGCTCCCTGCTCCACGGGGGGCACTTGCTTCTCCCTCTCCCACCCCCCCTGTGCTTGTGTTCCCTCTCTGGCTGTCTCTCTGTCAAATAAATAAAATCTTAAAAAAAAAAAAAAATAGGAAGGAAGGTAACACCACACCTACTACTTCTACTACTATCTACTCTGTTTAAATATCGGCCCAGGTGATTAAGAAACATTACTAAGACTGCACAGCCAGCAAATGGTAGAACTGGGATGTGGACACTGTTCTTTTTGACTTCAAATCTCTCAGTCTCTGACATTTAATAAGCAGTCTTTTCCCTCAAGCTGTGCCCATTCTGGTCATGGATTTTCAACTTCAAATTCCTAAACTTGTGTTGTTCTGTGGTAGTCTGCCTAGAAATTATGGTTCTACTTTACTGGACAAGATATCTCTAAATTAAGAAGGGAAGTCCCCTTCTTGGACAACACAGTTTCTTTGTAATCCTAGGCCATGTCATTAAAAGTTCTTATAGTAAGTGAGCGATCTAATTATGACCCAGACACCTTGTTGCCTTACACACGTTAGCGTATCTAACCCTCACAGCAACAGTAAAGCCTAGGCACTGCCATCACTATTTTACAGTGCTGCACACTGAATATTTAAGCGACTCAGAATCAAGACAGTCAGTGATGGGAGTCAAAATTAAAACTCAGGTCTAGATTGTCTACAAAAAACAAAACCTCTGTCTTTGCTGTTTTTCACATGTAGGTATGTTCTTTAAAGTTTTAAGATTTATACCTATTGCTTTGGAAAATGATTTGAAGAAATTAAAAAATTAAACTGAGATCCAAAAAGACATTTTTGTTGCTTTTTAGGAAACTGAAGATCTATGAAGCAGCTCGAATGAATTGTTCCCAGTCAAGCTGTTCTACTAGCTTAAAACAGACTTTTAGTCAAAGGAAAAGTGCAGAATTTTTTTTCCTAAACTTCATATAACTGACAAACACTGACCAACCAACTCACTTGAGGTAAAACACTAGAGGAATTACAATTCAAATTAACAGCAACAAAAAAGGATTCCATTAGCATTACTGTTATTCAACATTTTTTGAAGTCCTAGCCACCAGTACAATAAGAAAAAGAAACAGGCAGACATTGAAGAGGAAATGTCAAATTTAATAGCTACCCAGAAATCTGAGAGAACCAACTGTTTAGTATCATAATCATTTAAAAGATAAAAGAAGCAAACAGGAAAAATGACTAAATATCTTAGCAATAAATGATGTAATAAATGTATGAGACTTGTATAAAAAGGGATTTTAATAGAGATTCTGTGTAAAGCTCTTGGTACTTCTTAAATTAACCTATAAATTCTAAAATTTATGTTAAAGTTCATCTTGAAAAGTATGCTGTGATGTTTAATTGTATCAATTTGGCTAGGTTACAGTGCCCAGTTGTTTGGTCAAATAGTCATCTATATGTTCCTGTGAAGGTCTTTTAAAAATGTGATTAACATTTAAATTAATAGAATTTGAATAAAGAAATATCCTCCATAACGTGGGTGGGCCTCAACCACTCAGCCAAGGCCTTAAGGGTAAGAACTTAGGTTTCCTGAAGAAGGAATTCTCAAGACAGCAACATAGAAACCTTACCCTGTAGAATTCAGATGCAGAACTGCAACATTAACTCTTACCTAAATTTCCAGCCTGCTTTCTGCCCTACAAATTTCAAATTTGCCAGCCTCCACAACTGTGTCAAACAATTCCTTAAAAATCAACCAATCTCTCCCTCTCCCGTTTTCCTCTGTGCGCGCGCGCGCGTGTAATACTTGGAAATGAAATACAGAATACAGTGCATAAGCTGCAAGCATTTAAATTGTCACGATGCAGAAATAATTATATTAGTGGGGCACAACAGAGTCCAAATGTCCACAAATAGACACAGAAACAAATGAGAATTCAGAATTCAATGTATGACAAAAATAGTGAGTGAGAATTGGCTATTTCCAAAAAGTTCAAGATTCAACTCTCTTGAACCATATTCTAAAACAGGCTCCAGATGGAATGAAGAGACAAACATAAAAAAGTATAAAACTACCAAAAATATAAAATTAAAAAAATACATACGTGGGGAGTTTTCCTAAACTCTGAAAGAACATACACAAACCTGTTCCAAGCAGGTAACTGCTTCCCTTTTTACTTTAGAACTTCCTGTATTGTGTTTTTTTCCCCTATAAGCACGTACTCCTTTTCGACTCGAAATTTTATCCAAACTTCTTTTAATCAGTAGTTGTTCATAAATCACTAAGATATAATGACAACTAGTATTTACCAAATGGATTCTTAATTTGGACTACCAGCAATAAAATTGTATCTTAAAATTAAAATCTGGAAAGAATAAAACATTTTAGAGATGATTAAGCTAAAAGACTTCACTTAGTTCTAGGGTTTTCAAACTTTTGTATTTTTGGCAGTGAGACTGAATAAATGCAATTTTATATAGTCATAAACCGAATGAACAGAAAAGACATAAAACAGCTAAGACAGAGTGGTCTGGGTTAACATTTCTACAGGAAGCTCTGAGCTCTGCAAATCCAGCCCATCTATATCCTTAGTTGCAGCTCCTTAAACATGCCTACAAGAGAGCAGTTGGAAGACACTGAACCAACAAAACCCTCAAGTTATACAGATGGTAACTAAGTTCTAAAAGCAAAAAGCAAAAGGTAACTTAAATGTCTGTCAATAGGGGAATGGCTAAACTGTGATGTGTACACGTAATGGAATACTCCTCATAAGAAGCTCTCAGTAAAAATGTAGATCTAAGAGCGCCTGGGTGGCTCAGTCGTTAAGCGTCTGCCTTCGGCTCAGGTCATGATCCCAGGGTCCTGGGATTGAGCCCCGCATCAGGCTCCCTGCTCAGCAGGAGGCCTGCTTCTCCCTCTCCCACTCCCCCTGCTTGTGTTCCCTCTCTGTCAAATCAATCAGTCAATCAATCTTTTAAAAAAAAAAGGTAGATCTAAATCTATTAACCTTAACAATGACAACAGACAAGAGGATTAGGATCAAAACCAGCAAGTTAAAAACTGTGTATATGTATTTATATATTATGCATAAAACATGCATGTATTATGTATAATATATATACATATCATGACCAAATAAAGAAAAATATATCCACAGGAAATTAGTTCAGAAGAGAGACACAGCAAAAATTTACAGTAGCTATCTCCAAGTATGGGGGTTAATGGTGAAAGTTCTCCTGTTTACTTTTCTACTTCCTATTTACTGAAAATTTTTGCAATGAGTATATATTATACACTTATAACCAGGAAAAATAATCAATGTTTTGTTGTCAAGGGGGAAAATCCCTTAAACCACAAAACAACAAAACGAACAATCCCGAGAGTGAGTAGAGAAGAAGTAACTTCCATATCCTAAACTGAGTGTATAAACAGTTAAGGTGGGTTATGTAAGAGAAGCTGGCCTACCTTGTCAAATGTAGTTTTTTGCTCAGGCTGGGGGAAAGCAGCTTTTTGTTCAGGTGGCTGTGCAGGAGCTGTCTTTAACTGAGCTGTGATAGCCTGGACCTGAGCCATCACAGCATTGTCAAGGGCCGGAGACTGTGGTTTTGGAGGCTGCTGAAAAGTCTGAAGGATCTGCTGAAGCTTAAAGAATGAGAAAACTGATAAACCACGTAACAAAGTATAATCATAGTATCAAAGGTTGATTTACTGAAAAAACAAAAAACTTAAAGGTGACTCAAAATAGCACAGGCACAAAGTAAACTGGAAAAAGAACACACCTTTTGGTAAAGGTTAAGTCTGTTGATAATACCAGGGATACAATGTGTGTCATTTAAGGTTAAACATGTATGCTGATACCCCAACGGGCAGAAAATGATGGTCAGTAAGAGAAAATACACTGAACTGTGAACAAGGTAAAGAAATGTTTTCTAGAAAAATGTAAAAATCATCTCCAATACAAATAATTTTGAAGTTAATCCGAAATGCTAGAATCATGAGCAACAATACCAACCAGTCACCAGTTCTGAAGTCCTCTTCACAGGGGTATTGCTATTGCTCAGTGTATGGCTCCCTTATTTCTCACCTTTCCCACATTTCCCCTGTGAGCCCTATGACATTACCTGCCCAGTAAAGGCTTTTCTAGGTGAAAAGTAGAAATATTTCCTCCCTTGAATGTGCTCATTCATTAGGAATGGAAAATAAAAACTGACAAAAGTACCTAACTGCAAGGAATTTAATCTTGAGATAGGTAGTTTACCTGTTGACCTTGAGTTGTCTGAAACAGTTGGGCCACAGCAGCAAAAGCATCAGAGCTAGGCAACTGTGGTACAGTTGGTACAGAGTTTGTAGTGGCTTGGGGTGGTTCAGAAGAAACTTTAACTGGAGGTGGAGGTGAACCTAAAAAAGAAAAGGTCATTAAGACCTACGAAAACTTTAATCTTCAAATTTCCCTTTTTAAACTCCATTAAGCTTTTTTACTAAAATAAAGATCGTGGTACTAGACTCTGTACTATAGCAAATACAGGAAAGAGCTGTGGAAAGAAAACCGTATCTTCCAAGATGTAAATTCAAATGTCTTTCTTATGGAAAAGTTCCACCAATATAAACAGACGCCACACTTCTCATGCACAAAAGTTATACCATCTTCTACGTTCACAGATATACTTGGCCATACCTTCATTATTAGTAACATTTTCTGCTACCGGGGCGGCATTACTGGTTCCTGCAGCCATATCCAAAAGAGGCTGAATAATTTCAATTTTGAATACTCCATTTTTTTGCCAAAGGTTCAGCACACGAACTATTTTACTCTGTTATGTGTAACAAAACACGAATATACAATAAATATTTGCATAAATAAAGAAATAAATCTCTAAGCGTTTTATAAACAGAAAAAAAAATTTATCTTTAGAATTACGACTTGGTTAAAACTACCCTAATCAGCCTTTCTTCAGTAGTACAAACTAGAATAAAGAACAAAGAAGGGGGAGAAAAGGGGGAAGAAACAAAAAAGAAATATAACCTAGATAATCAAAACAAATATAACAAAAAATGTATTTCACATTTTCATTATATTTATGATCACAAAGAAATACCATCACTGACAAAAAAAGTAATCGTCTTAGAAAAGTAAATGAAGTGAAGAAGAATTTCTTCAGGATGATATTAACAGTTAAAATATTTAAGAAACTGGTCTGTAACTGATAGGTAAGTCGTTTTATGGCCTAGTAAATATGATGGAGATCCAGAGATGTGTTATTCATAAGAAAAATAACTCATGTCCTACTCAAGAAATGATCTTTTCTCTTGTTTATTTTTCCCACAAGAACACTCCTCCAAGAATATAAATACAGAATCCACAACACTCAAATTTATATACTGTTTACTGTAAATATCTTCATTCTTCTGAGTAGATTTAGTAGTATACTTCTCCCACCTACTGGGAGTCCAGTTATTATGTCTGTAATGTTCTTCTACCTTTTTATAGTACATAGTAAAATCAGCTATAAATATAAGGAATTAAATACTGTAGTCTGATTGCTAATGAATATCATTTATGCTCCAGCCTCTTAAAATGCTGGGGAAAGCCATCAATTATTGGTCCCTTCTTTCTGGAATAAGCAACAATATGAGATGAGTACTGCCTTTTTCTATGGCAGAATTTATCACTCAACTACAAGTAAATCTTTCCAACTCCTTTTTCAACAGTACAACATTCCAGAAGAATTTCACAAGAAAATATATAAACATGAGATGGCCACAACAGAAAACACTGGGTTTTGTTTCAAGTTCACAGAGATCCCCATATAATTCTCTTTCAAATATATAATATACATTTAAATAGATTTAAATATAGAAATGATACAAGTTTTAATTTAAAAATTAACTATACCTTATCTTCAGATGGACAAAGATACAAATATTGGAATGTGGCGGTTATGTTTTTAGAGAATCTTGGCCCAAAAACATCTTTATCGGTTCCAAACTGATGACGAGACTGTCGCACAATTGAGTCGATTACATATAATCCTGGAACCTTGTACTCTGGTTTACACTACAAAGATAAAGATGCAAAGTTAATAGAAGAAAAGCAAAATCACAATTTGACATTAATCTCCCTTTTATAAAACTCTGTATTATCCAGTGATTGTTTCTATTTAGAAACCGCTTGAATGTTTAGCTCTCTTATTGGCTAGCATGTCAAATTTCCCACAGGCATGTACAGAACTACCAATTCTCTTGATACTTCAGACCCCCAGTATTTTACTTTTCTCTGATCCCTCTACCTCCCCACAATTTCCCAGAATCAACATTACTTTACCAATCCCTAAGCCACTTGCACACTAATCCACTTATTATGATACTCTCTACTCCAATTCATCCTACTTAAAAAAATAATTTCTACCTTTTAAAGTCATCAAAAAGATAATTTTAACATCAATTTTAATTCTACTAAAGTAGAGTACCAGAGAAAAGAAAAACTAAGGAGAGATCACATTTTTGGCCTATCAATAATGATTAACAAGAAGAAAAGAGAAACATACACCTATATATATTTCTGGTGGTACAACCTTTATCGATGATGATTTAGCAATAATAGCAAAGCCTTATTTGATCCAACAATTCTACATCTAGAAATTTATTGTAAGGAAAATCATTAAGATGCATCTAATTTTTTCGTTAAGGCCAGCCACTGAAGTGAAATGTCCAAAAGGAACTGAGTAAATGTGGAAAAAATCAAGCAATGGAATACTTTTTTGCAGACATTTTATGATAAATTCAGTGGGAAAAGCAGGTTATCAGTCACCAGTTTCTTTTTTATGAATGTACATGTACATAATAAAAAATGAGTAGATCTAAATATAAATATAGTAATTTGGGGTGATAGCATGTAGGTAATTTTAATTTTTTTTCCATTTTACTTATTTGTACTTTGATTTGCTACTATAAAAACTTCTACTGACCTTTTTTTGGTCTGTTGGGATTCTAACTCCTATCTCTCATCTAGTATTCAAAGGCCATGGATCAAAGACATTCACACACATTTACTGGTATGTACTACAAGGCACAGCTCCAGGTTGGGGGAGAAGATAGAGATGTCTAAGTCTCTGTTCTTAGTCCTCTGGTGAGACAGATGTGTGCTAATCACATGGTTATAAAACCAGATACAACTGTAAAACTGAAAGATGATTTAATTATGATAGCAGCAGGGAAAATCCGGAATAACTTTACAAAGTGATTTCACTTGAAATACTTCAAGATGAGTTAAATGTCAACAAAGTAGACAGGGCAAATGGCACAGGAAAGACATCAAACTCGGGCAAGAATCGTGCTGAGTACACAGGAAACTTGTTGAGTGTCTACCTCATACTAAGCACTCAATCAACAGTATTGCTATAGATTTTTGTTTTGTTAAAAACAAACTCAAGAGACTAACAAGAACACCTAGTGACAACTTTTTTTGTAGAATAGCCTTAGAAGCAAGCATCCAAATTACAATTTACAAAGTAAATTACAAATACTAATCATAACTAAAATGATGTAATAATGAAACGGATAGTTACCTTTTTGATGAACTTTTCTACTATTTGAACTACATGCTTATAAAGCTGAAAAGAATTAGAAGAAAATTACTGTACAGTTTACTTATTTCTACATATTCAGTAATGTAATTAGAAAATACTTAAAACCTTAAAATTGCAATCTGAATTCTCAAAATAATACTGAATGAACCATGACAAATAATCCCTAGTCAAAAAGTGAACAATCATAAATCAGAAGTGAATTAACTAAAACAGAAACTACAAAAATCCCCCCAAAAAGAAGGTCCTTTTCTTAGATTTTTAATCAATAAACGTTAATAAAGTAGTGTATTCAGGCAACTTTATGAGACCGATAAGAACAGTGGAACTGGAACTAAATAATGCAGTTTCTAAAGAGACTCTGCTATTTAGGTGTGATCTTGAAAACATTTCACTTCGTGAAGTCTGAGTTGGTTTTTTTTCCTTCTTTTTAATAAAAGTATGAAGCTAATACTCAGCTGACTTACGAAAAGAATTAACTAAAACAGGGTGCCTGAGTGGCTCAGTCAGTTAAGTGTTGCCTTTGGCTCGGGTCACGATCCCAGGGTCCTGGGATCGAGTCCCACGTCAGGCTCCCTACTCAGCAGAGAGTCTGCTTCTCCCTCTCCCTTTGCCCCTCCTCCTGCTCGTGCTCTCTAGGTCTCTCTCCCTCTCTCTCTCTCAAATAAAAAAAATAAATAACTACAACAAAGAAAAAACCCCTTTTATTCAACTCTCTACTTCTGTTAATTCAACTTTCTGATACACACACACACACAAATTGGCAACTATGTGAGGCAACAGGTGTGCTAATTAGCTTGACTGTGTTAATCATTTCATAATGTGTATGTGTATCAAACCATCATGTTCTATTATATTTTTAAATACATTCAATTTTATTTGTCAATTATACCTCAACAAAGCTGGAAAAATATAAAGTGGAGATACTAAACAACAACAAAAAAGGAAAAAAGCAGGTTTTGAAATAACATGTTAGAGTTCAAATATACTGTACTGTATTAACATGTATCTTCAGCAAAAGTTAGTGCTCTCTGATTCAGGCCTAAACTAATACGATGAATTCTCATGTTTAACAATATTTTCAAAATCTCAAAAACATTTTTTGAATTAAATATATTTATTTTATTCTTACCTTAATAGCTTTAATAGCAGCTTTAGTGATAAGAATCATCTTGGCTCGAGAGATGGGAGGTTTCATATCCATAAGTGAAAAGAGCTTAAAAAACAAAAATAATTTAAAAATTAAGTTAGAGGTCAATTCCCCCCAGTTCCACAAAGATAGTGCAATTTATTAACTAAAAGAATAACAAACTTTTGGAACTAAGTTGAACAATTCAGCTAGTAAAGAAAATCCAAGCACTTTCCTATATACCTGCATCACTACCAAGAAAATACAATAGGAAAAGATATTAAAAATAGCAAAAAAGAAAAAAAAAGAAAAAACATTAAGAAATTTACAAAACCTGTAACTGAAAAAACTAAAATTTTACTGAAGAACTCAAAAATAATTTGAATGCAAACATACCAGGGGTTTCTGGACCGAAAGTAGCAATAGTATGACTCAATATTTAATGCAAACCTCACTGAGATTTTGGAGAACTTCAAATAATTCTAAGGGTCATTTGGAGAAAGATTTATTAAATTAGGCAAGAAATTTAAAATGCTGGAATTCACTACTTCTTGATTTAGTCAGGAACAAAAATGGCACCATATTTAACACATCTCATGACAGTAAATCCAACAATCAGGTGCTCCCCATGAGATTTAACCACACATGCATACTTCTTCCAAAGTTTAAATCCAACCAAGACATAATGAAAGCCCATAGAGAGTTACAAAGATAAAATCCTGACATTAAGAAGCTTATATTTAGCTTCTTAAATTCTTCTCTTTTTTGTTTTTGTTTTGGTTAAAAAAAAAAAAAAAAGTATATCATTAAACACTTTATTTGGCTACAAGTGAAACTTTTTAAATTCTTTTTTTTATTACTAGTTAAAAAAAAAAAAAAAAAAAGATTTATTTGAGAGAGAGCACTCGTGTGTTCACAGGGTGGGTGAGGGGGGCCGAGGGAGACCAGCAGACTCCTGGCTGAGCGGGAAGCCCATGTGGGGGCTCCATCCCAGGACCCTGAGATCATGACCTGAGCCTAAACCAAGAGTCAGAAACTCAACCAACTGAGCCACCCAGGTGCCCGTTTGCATTTCGTTTAATCACGGGCACATACTCACCCTAGGACTTCTAAAAAGATAATTTGTGGGGTTTTTTTTTAAGTAGGCTCCACCCCCAACATGGAGCCTAATGCAGTGTGGCTTGAACTCACCACTCTGAGATCCAGACCTAGCTGAGATCAAGAGTCGGATGCTTAACCAACTGTGCCACCCAGGCACCCCTAAAAAGATACTGTGAAATAATTAAGTTTCGGGGCTTTATATGAATATTTCCATTTCTTTCCAAATAATGTTGATACTCCAAATATGTAATCTCTAAGACACAGATCTTTACTAGATCACGAAGAAGCTAACCTAAGTACAAAAGTCTTTTTTCATAGGGTAAACAGCCCTATTTGGCAACATATCCTAAAAATTCAGAGAATTTTCACAGCTTTTCACACAACTACAGACACAATGGGACTATAGATAACAGTAACAGTAATATTAGAAAAGGCATGGAACGCCAGAGATAATCAATACAAGAACCAGATACTCTGGTTTAAGCAGAGAAAGGTAGAATTCTTCCATAGGTAATATTAAGATTTAAAAAAAAAAGGGAGAAACACAGATACTAACAAAGGAATTTGTTTTTTAAAAATGTGATTCTCTAAAGAGCGTCATGATTCTTTATTATTTCTTTACCAATGTAATAAAAATTATCCTTGAGAATAAATGCTCATTAACAGAAAGCAATTAGAAAGGAGACAGTAATCTGAGATTATATAAACTGATGGGAAATGAAAAAATTTAAAATATTACAAATACAAATTCTAAAAATGTAAACACTGCATGAAATATATAGCATGCATTTAGAAGGATATATTACCATTTATGTTATAAAATTTATTAAGACTTGTTCTTAATTTATTAAGACTTACTTGTTCTATTTCCTTCTCTGTACCTTAATGTAGAGAAAGGGGATGCAAAAAAGTTTATACATGATCTTTAAGAATGAACAACAGTGAGAACTATTTCCCTGGTCATTAAAAGCTTAGAGAATCATATTTTCATGAAGCCTAAGCAAAAACTATTCATTTAATGTATCAAATAGCACTTCTTGATTACTTCAGCAGGAGGCAACCTGCCATATTAAAAAGCTCAGCCAACTGAGCACACAAAACAGACCAATGTATCATCGGATAAAATACTCCACAGTCTGTATTTAAATCACAACTTGTTAAAAAAATTAAAATACAGCCTATATCATATAGCAGTATAACCATTCATGCAAAATACCAGCAAGAGAACCCTCAAGTACTATTATCTAAGAGACAGTAAAAAGGGTATTAAACATTTCATGAAGAAAGGATCACTTGGGAAGAGAGGAGGGAATCAACATCTGAGGGCCTACGATGTATAAGGAAGAATTAAATCTAGTGGTATATAATTTTATTTAATCATATTAACAACTGGAGGGAGGTGGGAGGGGGATGGGTTAAATGGGTGATGGGTATTAAAGAGGGCACTTGTTGTGATGAGCACTAGGTGTTATATGGAAGTGTGGAATCACTAAATTCTACACCTGAAACCCATTTTACCATATGTGTTAACTAGAATTTAAATAAAAACATGGGAGAAAAAAAATCATACTAACAACTTAACACAGATTCTCTTCCACCTGTTTGAGATGATACTCAAAAGGGTTACTTATATCTGTTTTGGATGATGCCCAGGGAATGGGCTTGAAACTATAATTTGTAGATTTTATAGTTCACAATTTTTTTTTTTAAGATTTTATTTATTTATTTGACAGAGAGAGTGAGCACAAGCAGGGGCACTGGCAGGCAGAGGGAGAGGGAGAAGCAGGCTCCCTGCAGATCAGGGAGCCTGACATGGGGCTCGATTCCAGGACCGTGGGACCTGAGGCAGCTGCTTAACCAACTGAGATACCCAGGCGCCCCTATAATAGGTTCACAGTGCCTAATAGCACATTCATATCCTTAATACAATGCTGCTTATGGATTAAATACATATGAGAACCATTAACTATGATGGGGAAATATCAAAATATCAAGCAGGCATCTGTGCCATATATATATATATATATATATGTATAGTATTGACTCAGGGATAATGACTAAACATACTGAATTTAATTTGGGATGCCTACTGAAATTCAGGCAGACATGAGAAAATGGATCTTGAACACAGAAAAGGTCCAGGCTAGAAAAAAGAGTCAAAGCCATGAGTATGCGTGAGAAGAAATTTGTAGTAAGAAGAAAGCCAAGATCATATAACCGAGGGTATATAAAAAATGCCACTGTGGTATAGAGAAAGGGGTTGCACAAATGAATAATACGAGGACAAATACCAGAAATTAAAGGCATTTGGCATGGTCAAATGTGGTAAGAGGTGCAAACCAAACCTTGTTTGGTTTGACTATTAGGTGGCTGAACAGATACCAGCTTTTGAAAGTGATTTCAAAGTCCAACTGGTAAAGAAGTGGCAGGTGAGGAGGTAGAAATGCAGTTTTGGATCATTTTTCATTAATTTAACAAATTTCTGAGCGCTCAGGAAGTGTCAAGCTCAGTGACTGGTACATAGGGGAGGCAGAGCCGTGTTTCAGTGCTTTAGAGATGACGACCCTTAAAATACCTCTAACTTGCGAGCACTGCGATGTTTCTATCACATTTAAGTTTCTTTTTAGATGTTCTTTACTTTCCTTTACAAATGCCTTTCTTAAATCTTAAAGCTAAAAATCTGTATTTGATATAATTTATAAAGAAAAACAACACTATAGGCAGGCAGAGGAAGTTTCAAATCTGGAGGTTTAAAAAATCACCTTTTAAAAGCTCAATGAATGTTACTAATATTTTATTGACTTCTTCAAAGTACAAATTCATCAGTCCCTACCTTTCGCAAGGCAAAAAGGTTCCCAGATATCTAGATCAATACCTTCATTGGATATAGAGACCCAGAAATTATGCTGAAATTGATATATCTTACTGTAATTATGTGCACTGACACTACCTGTTTAAATAGAAACACTAATAGCCTTTGTGGTAGTTAGATATTATAATTCCATTTTACAGATGAGAACACTGAGGCATAAAAGCTTAAGAATCTGCTCAAATCATAAAGCTAATTAGGTGGTAAATTTAATCTGTGGTCCACCACTACCCAAAGCTCAAGTTCTTTCCAATAACTACCTAACAATAAAGAAATTATTTGATTAATACTATAATACATTATCCTGGAGGAATGAATAGCACACAGACATTAAAGACGATAGACTATAAAAAAAGTTTAATATATACACATATATGTATGCATGTAGATCCAAATAAGAAAGTATACCAATATGTAACTGTTATGGAGGGACTGAACCCAAAGATTTTTTAATAACAAAAAATAAGTGACATACAAGTAGAGTGCTATGTCCAGCCAAGCAGTAAGTTAGAGGTAATATACTAAGTCCTTAACTGGATCTAGAGCAAAGCTGAAATTTAATAAGCTTAGATAAGAAAGAGTTAATTGACATGTTGGCTGAGGAATCTCTCAGAAGTATACAACCCTGTGGTGCTCTAAGACTCAGATTATAGTTCCCGAACTTTTAAAAACAATAAATTTCTGTTAAAGTAATGATAAGAAACAAGATCAATAATCAACTGTCTGGGAAATCCTGACTCCCTCACCTGCTAGCTATGAGTTGTTTCTTCATCTGTAAAATGAAAATAATAGTCCCTACTTATACTAAGGGAAGTTTAATACAAACAACACATATAAAAAGCACTTAATGCAGCACCTAGTACAGAGTAAGTACACAATAGACATTACCTATTACTACCACCACACATAATTTTGTTGAAAGGAGAAAGAATCCTGGAAATAATCCAGATAAGTGTTTTTCAAACTGTGGGCTGAGATACATTAGAATATAAAAATGAGCTTAATGGGTGTGATGGAACTTTTTTAGTAGAATAGAGTAAAAAAATAAAATAAACAGCACTGTACACAGCAAGGGTAAGTCCTGTTTGGTGAAATTTCTCAGTTTTGTGTGTGGGTA